TTCTTAAGCTATGCGTTTTTTTATCCTCTGACCTCAGTGCTGCAAATATCACAGCCAATTTTTGTTAAAATATTTGGAATATGCCTGTACCACGTGACACGGCGACATAAATGTGACTAGTAAAAAATCTGAAAAAATCTTTTTTAAGGTATGAAGTATAGCTTAACCTAACATCAAGCTGCTTTTTTACCTCTGAGCAGGCGCAACAGCGACAGCAGCAGCAGCAGAAACGAGTAGCTCAATGTAGGGTTAACTGTACTTCGTACCTTCGAAACGCTTTTCACAGTCTTAATTAACGATTTCATCGTATGAAAAAATAACTACCTAACTTTTGTGATGTTAAAAATATGTAATCCAATAACTTTTTGTATTCAAATCCTTTTCCACCACGAAAAACAATAAAAACTTAATTTCTTCCATAAAACCTGTACTACTTTTCCTCTAGTAGTCATATATATATATCGCCGTATCACGTGGTACAGACATATTCCCAATAATGCTTCAGAGATTTTGAAATTGCAATAAAAAAACCCGCTTTTAAAAATAAAACTTGAGCTATGTCGATTCAGAGTCGTAGTACGAAAAATTTACGTTTTTTTACTGTTTCTGGCTATTTTGTAATTTTTTTTACTTGAAAATTTAACAGGATACACTTGATTATATTCTAAAACTAATTCAAAATTTTTAATACTCTATTATTCATGGTTTTTTATGGAAAAATTTTTTTTTTCGTTTACGATCTTGAACTAAAGGCTTGACAGATGCGCAGTTTTTCAGTCTTTTTCGTCCTATTGGGCTAACGTGAACAAATTTTTCAAAAACGCGTTTGTTGATCAAGAGTTGCTCTACACCATCCTCTAATTCCATATTTAACTTGCTGTAAGTATGGAAAAATTGGTTACAAAAAAGAAGCTTCCATGTTTGGTGGTGATGGGTCGAGTTCGAAATTTGGCTACAGGCAGAATTTCGCACGTACATACTTAAAATTTTTTTTTCCGTATTTTAATACAAAAATAGCAAAAGTTTACGTACTAAATAATAACATAACAATATATTTGCGTACTATTGTGCAGCTGTATATATATATATAATCTTTCTTTTTGTTCTGCTTTTGATTCACAAGTATAACACTAAGTGTCATCACAACTATAACAGCTGCATAGTTATAAATAAATATATATTGTGTTATTGCTCAGTAGTTAGGTCATTGTCATTTTTAAGGACGTTTGGTAGAGATAGAACCCTGTGATGAATCTTTTTGAAATTTTAACCAGACGTTCTTATTGTTGTTTCAATAAAGCTGTTAAAATTTCAAGAGGTTCGTCTATTTCGTTTCCGATATATTGAACTTCAAAGTTCAGTCATTTTAACACGGTCGCTTACGGGAAAACTTATAAAAACTCAGTTTAAAAAAAATTGGCGTGATGAATGTCTCCAATTTTTTCATATGTCACAGATAATGTTAATAACTATATGTATACAAAGTTTCGCGACGATCGTCTGATTAGTTTATGAATAAAAAAATTAAATAATAGTTCGACAGAAACGCAACGGCAACGTCGCAAGAAGCGGGAAATTCAAAATGTTCCAGGACGTAAATTAGTAAATATTTGAATATTATGGTAGATTTTTACGTATTTCTGTTTAAAACATAAGTTTATATATGTGTGTGAGTGTATGTACATAGGTTCCACACGTACCCATAACGAAACAATGTATTATAATAACACATATTCATTTTTCTTAATAAAATTTTTAATTTGTAATATTTATACAATACAGTTTTTTTACACTAGATAACAAAATCATATGCTTGTAGTAATCGCAGAGACTAGAGTCTGTCCTAATTATTTAACATATCACTTTCAATGAGACTTTTCAAGTTACATAAAAATTCAAGAATTTTATTAACATTAGCTACGAATATAATTGTATGTATATTGTCACAAGTCTTTTAAATTATTTACTCATTTTTATTACATTGTTATAACGAATAAAAATCAAATACTTACATCTTTAGCACAAATACATTACAAGTATACTCATACGCTGCCGGAACCGACGCAGCAGACAGTACAGACACTGCAGAATGCACACCACCTGATGTGTGTATATGTGTGTTTACATGAACACTCACACATTGGAGACCCTTATGGTGATGCCAAGTGTTCACTCATCGCTACTTCCCCCTTGCCCCGCAAGTGGTTCTCCCCCGCTATCTCTACCGAACGTCCTTAAATATACTAAAATTAAAAAAAAAATTTAAGTTAGCATAAGCGAAATTTTGTCTATGGCCGTATTTGAAGCCAAGCAACCCCCCACCACGAAATATTAAAGGCTCTTTTTTGCCATCAATTATTTTTTTACACTTGCATCAGGTTAAACGATAAGATATTTGAGAATGGTGTATAGTAACTACTAATGAACAAAAGACCTTATAAAAAATTTCTTTTCGTTGGCCCAAAACTTTTTTATGGCCATTTTTCCAAAGGGTCTTAATTCAGTTTTGTCAGAGTTTCTTAACAAATTTTATCGAGTTCCAAGTCTTAATATTCAATAGAATGCAAATTATTGATTCTTAAACGAGTGGAAAAAACGCAGTTTTTGCAATTTACTCAAAAACCGTTAAACAGATTGGGGCTTACAAAAATTTATTGGATTCGTTTTGTTATATACCTATCAGATTCTTTATTGTCAAATGGTTATTTTCTTTTCAATTGCAAAAAATTGTTTTAGTACGTTTTTTGACAATTTTTTAAATTGCCACAACATATTTTGATCCACGTTCGGACTTAATATATCATTTGTATTGTTACTACCTACAAAAATAAATAAAGACCGTCAGTTAGCAATTGTCATATCCTAATTTGCTATCTGTATCTAGCATACGTAAGCACGCTAGTGACTTGACGATCAACTTAATAATAAACTTTTTTGGCTTCTAACATATATACTGTGACTTCATTTACGATTTTTCATATACATTTTTTTTAATACTTGTTGATTTAACATTCTGACATTTATTTTTCATTATGGTAAAAAAAAATTACGTTAAAGTGTAATAACAGGTAAATAAAAAATAAATTGAGTTATTTTTTCGTTTCATTTACTTGTGCAAAGACTTTTTAGAAAAAAACTGTTTTAATATGCATTAGATACCCGCATTTTTAAAAGACGATGACAAAGATGAGAATAATGAGATTAAAAAAACAGAAACTAAATACCAGCAAATTAAAGAGACAAAAGTTGGTACATTAAATTTAAACAACGAACCAAATGATTATACATACGGAAAAATACACACTGCTAGAGAGAGAGAGAGAGAGAGAGACAGAGAGAGAGAGAGAGAGAGAGAGAGAGAGAGAGAGAGAGAGATTAGTTGAAAACTAATTTTATTAATGCTATGGTCACTTAGGATGGAATAGCAAGATGTTGTGTACAAGGATACAATTTAGTACAAGTTACAATTGACTCAACATAAGTTTAAAATATATATAATATAAATAAAAATTTTTAATAGATGTTAGCAATGTGGTTAGTCTTAGAATTATGTTTGGCCTATTAGAAAATTGACGCAAGTCGCATGTTAAAAAATTATGAAATTACAATATCGCAATTTTATTCATAGTTGTTCTCACATTTGTATCCACACATCTATTCAATGATTTATCAAACGCACCAATTTATTTATATAAAATTAAAAACTATAAGAAACACAAATACACCACCCTCAAAAACAGTGCCACACTGTTAGCAACCTTAGGCAGAAGGGCAATACTAATATTCATTTTTCTCAAGAAATACTCAAACAATCCACTACAAAGAGCCAACTTGGTCTTACTCATTTTGTTCTCAAACAATAAAGAAATCCAGAGGCAAGAGCCCAGAGACTATAAGAGTGCTGGTACACCTTCAGGCGCGCCGTAGATCATAATAACATGGAATTTTCATGTTGGGCGGATTTACGCAAGTGCTCTATTTCTGAGAAAAACTCCTTCAGGTACCCAGGGTGGCTAGTAACAAGCGTATTGTACATCGTAAGCCCCAGGAAATATTGCTGAGGTAACGATAAACTGAGTCTTCTCAAACGCTTGTAATAGGATTCCAGTTTCTCGTCCTTTTTGTTTTTTCTTCTTAATTCTTAATTTACAAGGATTACTTATAGAAAAACAGTAGAACTATATTTTTGTTCACATCTCGTTTCAAACTGAATAAATATTGTCCAATTTTGTAGTCTGTAAAAAATAAAAGAATTTTTAATTTGATTGGTAGAATTAAATAGCAGTTGAAATAATTCAACTATGCTAGAAAGAAAAAGATTAGTTCAAAAAGATAGATCACTACATAAATATATTGGATGGACAACAACAAAAATTTTTTTTCAATAGTTCGAGGTTACTTGTTACTAATATTAATGTCAATGAGAATAAAAATTGTTAAAAGAAATATAGAAAAAATAAAATCAATAAATGTTGTAAAAAAACAAAAATTGAAAAGTAAGATGTTATGTGCAAATTAGAATGAGATAAGTATAAAAGCGATGATTCTTCCTTAAATTTCTCTAGGCTTAAAAAATATATAAATATACACAAAATAGCAAGAATTTAATGAGATAATGAAATACAACGTTAGAAAATAGTACTTTTTACAACAAGATAAACGTGTATAAATTTAGTTCAAACTGTTTAAAAGCCAAATGAGCCTCAAAAAACTATAAGTATGTAACTTGCAAAATAGAAACGAATAAAGAAATTTGATTACTTAAGAAAAATTTCAAAATATGTTGAAAGCTTTAAAAATTTACGAAACTAACATATCGTTTGAGACTAGGCTTAAAAATACGTTCTATTTAATGAAGTCCTCATCTAGCGAAATAAACTATTAATAAATAATTGCATTTACACACACTTGATAAATATGCATTTACTACTATGAATAATTAATAAGACGAAAATGTTTTATACTCCTAAGCATTATTTCATTTGCAATAATTGTTTCAGGAACATTTTTTCTCATTGGAATAACGGGAATTTTTTTAATAAGTGGATTTTGTAGTTCACTTTTAACGATAAGAAAAAATAGTCGAAACTTCGTTCACAACAATCGATCAAGAAATAATTCTGCTGAAGCAACTGGATTAGCATTACGAGCTCTCGGACGAGGGTCGTTTTATGCGACTATGGGATGCAGCTTATTGTTTTACGGAATTTGGAAATTTTCAGGAGCAGAAACATTTATTGAATTTCGTTACAAGATGCAAAAAAAGCTACCAAAAATTTCAAAAAATAATTCTAGTTTACAATAAAGCTATNTGACAGTATGCAAATGTGCTAACAAGCTTTACAACTAAAATAATTATTACATTCGAATCAGAAATAATGACGTGAAGCTAAGGAGTGGTGAAAACTGTCTGTTCAGAAATTATGAGAAGGCTGAGCGGATTTCTTAAAAAGTGTAAGAAGAGCTGAGAGTGGGGGTACAATAGTAATTGAACTTAAAATTACTTGATTACTGATATAATCTTGCTTTATTTAGTGACGCTGCTGATGGAAAGCTGAAAAAAGTTTTTTTAATTTTAAGGGAGGCTTATTGGATTATTGGGGTATATCTGGTTATTAGGTTATATAATTATGAAAGGGGGTATATATATGTGTGTGTGTATATACTAATAAGGCTTTGCCCTCTGCGATCTCCGTGCGCCAGCCCCCCATTTTTTGAATCAGTTAAATACTTCATTTTTTTAGTTTCCTTTTTGAAGTTCAAAAAATTAAAAAATCTTAGTAAAGTAGTTCAAAGAGTTGAAACAAAAGTAGTTTAAATTTAATAAATACCTTTTTATAAATTCTTAAGATAATTTTTTGCCTCGTTTCTAATGACAGAAAATATATAATCTTTGGATATATAATTAAAACAATATTTTTAATCACTTTATTGAAATGATGAAAAAATGGTGGTTGTACTCTCTGGCCAGAATGAATGTTTCTGATCGAAAATCACGGTTTTCAAAATCATCTGTAAATAAACAGATAAAATTTTTTTTATTGAAGGCCCAGTAGGTTCAGAAAACACATTTCTATGTAAAACGTTAACTTATTATTTCATTTCTCGTAAAAAAACAATTTCATCTATGGCATGGACTAGTATAGCATTAATATTACTTCTAAAAGGAATGACCAGTCAAAGAACATTTCGTTTACCATTAGACTTAAACAATGTAGGAAGTTCGTTCTTAGAATTTGAATACGAAAAAAAGAAAAAAAAAATTGGAAGTAGATTTAACTACATGGGATGAGGCTCCTATGATCCAAAAAAAGCCTGAGAAATAGTTAAAAGAACATTACGTGATTTATGTAATACAAATATCCATTTTAGTAATAAATTAATTGTTTTAGGAGGCGATTTCAGACTGATTCTTCAAGTTTTTAAAAACAGTAATAAACGCATGATTATACAAGAAAGTATTAAATCATCATATATTTGGTCGTTGCTTCGTATTCTAAAACTTAAAATCATATATCTGTTCAATTGACAAAACATTTTTACAATTATTATTAGATATTAGAGAAGAAAAAATTGAATCGTTTCAAGTATCTAATAAATTAAAACGACTGATATTTGTTCTGATATTTTTGGTCAAAACATTAACTTTTTAACAAACAGCGTTATACTTACTTTTCATAACGGATATACTTACTTTCTGAATAATAATATTCTAAATCATGTAAAACGTGAAATGAAAACATGTTACAGCAAAGATAATGCTACTTCTAAGTGTTGATAAATCTTATAATAATTATTAAATGAATTTTCCAATTGAATTTCTAGACAATAATCGTGAAGGCACACCACCGCATGAGCTGAATTTAAAAATTGGAGCAATTGTTATATAGATATGAAATTTAAGTATAGTTGATGGCTTATATCACGGTGCAAGATTACAAATTACAAAATAACTTAAGTACAATATTGAAGCAAAAATTATAACTGGAGAAAAAATTGGAAATAGTTTTAATACCAAAATAAATTTTTAATACAGGGAATTCATCATCATAACCTTTTATTTAATACAGAAAACAATTTCCTTTAGTCTTAGCGTTTTCAATGACTATCAATAAACCTCAAGGTCAAAGTTTTAATAATATTGGATTATATTTGCAATAACTACTGTTTTCGCATGGTCAATTATACATTACGTTATCAAGATGCAAAAGTAGAAATTAAATTTATATTAAAATAGAACGTGATAATAATTTAGAAATAGAAAATATTGTTTGGAAAGAAATTTTTGATGTTAACTAATCTAAAGTAGATGAATGAAAATTTAATTTCTTTACGATAGCAAAAGTATGAAATTGTCCGAAATATTCTTGCACAATTTACTTAAATAATAAGTAACTGTATGAAGACAATGAAATTATTATTTAAATATTGTTTCATGACGATGCGCATTATTTGACATACTTCAATAAATATGATTTCTTTTCGTGGTCAATAGTGCTACAAGCAAGGTCCACGGATTCAATATTCTATAAGCTTATTCATTGTTATTATTGAGTATAAAAATACAATATCATGTTTTTATACATATTCAATAATGCAATGAATTAGCTTCTAGAAAATTCAAGAAAAAAAAAATCAGCACACCATAACACTACCTCAATGGTGGTGTGGAAATACGCTAACGTGCTAGAAATTAGGAGCTTTATTAAAACTGTAAGGAGAGCTGAGACAGAAAGTGCAAATATTCATGTAACTAGAAATGACATGAAAACCGATATAATTTTACCTCATTTAGAGATGCGGCTAAAGGGTGACTGGAGGGAGTTCTTCAAAATTGTGTTGGGTTATTCAGTTATTGGTTTATAAAGTTATGAGAAGAGGCGGAAAGGGGCTAAACAAAATTCCATTTCAATAAAAATAGGTAAAAACTGACAGTATGCAAATGTGCTAACAAGCTTTACAACTAAAATAATTATTACATTCGAATCAGAAATAATGACGTGAAGCTAAGGAGTGGTGAAAACTGTCTGTTCAGAAATTATGAGAAGGCTGAGCGGATTTCTTAAAAAGTGTAAGAAGAGCTGAGAGTGGGGGTACAATAGTAATTGAACTTAAAATTACTTGATTACTGATATAATCTTGCTTTATTTAGTGACGCTGCTGATGGAAAGCTGAAAAAAGTTTTTTTAATTTTAAGGGAGGCTTATTGGATTATTGGGGTATATCTGGTTATTAGGTTATATAATTATGAAAGGGGGTGAATGGGGGGCTAACAAAAGTTTAATCTAATAAAAATATAGTTAAAACTGACAAAATTTCACCTTATTAAGAGGGGGTGGGGGAGGCCTCATTAAAATCGAGCGAGAAGGTTGAGGTAGGGGTAAGTGGGGCTTACCAATAATTTAACCCAATAAAAATTCCGTAAAAACTGTTAGTATTTTACCTTATTTAGATGGTGGCTGAGGGGCGGCCGTGGAAGGGAGATTGTGTGGAATGACCCTCTAAAACTAGTATATAATATATGAAGATGTGTGCATGCTCGTGCGCGCGCGCGCGCACGTGCGTGTGTGTGTAAATATTTTGTGTATTAATTACAAACGGTTGTTAAATATGATTAGATTTGACTTTACACAACTGTTAATGTTCTGTCAACTGAGTAAAACAACCTCTAGAATACCCATTATAACAACTATCGTGTTTCTATTTAAAGCTCATGAATTTAGATCACTGGCACATACTAGTAGCTACATTTTTATATGATTAATTATAACTTTTATCACATTCCTTATAATTTTTTTTTATATATTTAGATGTAATAGCGCTGAATTGAACAAACAACCCAATTGCAGTCCCTTGGTAACCTAAAAGTCTTCTGAGAAATTTATCATCCCTTTAACCTAACGTTAGTTTCTAAATGCATCTTCATGACTCTCTGTGAAATATTGACTGGCTCCTTTTTTTTTGCAAAACCTTCTTTTAAATGTTTCTGTCTACAGTGTCACACGCTGAATGAAAATTTACAAACTCTGCATATATTTTTCCTGATTACTTTGTGTCTCCAGTACTAAAACCAAGTAGTTCAACACACATGTATCATTGGCTGTAACTTGGTTCTTACAAAATTATGACCTCTTTTGATAGCATGATTAACATTTATCTCTGTTTTTTAGCTCCTTGTTATTTCTGTATAAATTATATATGCTGTAGGAAGCAACAATATTCCTCTATACTCTTTGGTTTATTCTAAAAGGGACTGGTCTTCAAGCTCCACGTATATCTTTATCTTTTTATATTTTTTTTTTTAATATTGGTTAATTTATTTCACGTCGCACTTTATTCCTCAAAAAAATTTCACATTTTTCTTTAACACTTATGTCATTCTACTAACTTTTTTGTTTTACTCATTCATAGACGCTTTAGTCTACCTATACAAAAATGACTTTTACACACTCCAATGTTTCTACTTTTTAATTACCTCTATTGTTTATACATATACTCCTTCTAGTTAGCATTTAAAATGTTCATTCTATCTACTTACATTTTTTGCTGTATTTATTTACTCTCACTACTCCATTCCTCATACATTCCATCACAATGATATACATACTATTACAACCATACCGACTTTTTAAAATTACCTTTAAAGTTTTTCCCTTTTTTCCTCTTATCAAATCCTAAATAAATATCATCAAACACATTAGTTGATCGCAATTCAAAATCATTTTTTATAACTTATGAGTTGTTTACTCCGCTGTTTAATGGTTTTAATTTCACCAAAAGAACTGTCTGGCTTGACCTCGCCAACAGCGTTTCCACCCAAATTCTCTTACTCTTTAACGATACGTTTGAAGTTATTTATAAGTACAGTTTCCACTTGACCTAATACCATCTGTCCCGAACTTATCTTTTTATTCTTTAAGCCAGTCTTTTTGACAAACTTCTGCATTTGCCTTGGACGTATTTCGTATAAAAATGTACAGGCAGCAGGTAAGATTCAAGACGTCTTCTACTGGTTATCAATTCTTTGGGATCCATTTATTTCGAATTGTCAGAAATTGTCTGCAAAGCCAATGAAATCTTTTTCAAAAGACGTTACACAGCAATTATTACTGCCACCCGTGACTATCCATGGTATAAGTGACAGTACACGATAATTAATCGACCATGAAAAGTATCACAACAAATACAACTGATAATTTCACAGATATTCAACCAACTTTATTTTCTGATGATAAATTTAATAAAGATAAAAATTAAATAACAAATAAACAATTTTATTTTACTCGACAACAGTATAAATTTATT